CACAGGCTTCCCCGTACACATCGCAGCGGTGCAGGGCCAGGTGGGTCACGCCTACAGCCGAGGACACGTACAGCTGTTGCTGTTGAGGAGACAAAGAGGACAGGGAGAGATGTCACCTCGTCCCCACTCTGCAAGGACTCCCCAGAATGAGATGCAGCCTCCCAGTACTGGGACCAGCTGAGACACCAGAGCCGCTCAGGCCCACTGGTGCCAACTCGCCCTGGGACCACCTGTGTGTCTCTCCCACGCTGGTGCTGCAGTGACACTGGGCAGTGCCATGGCTGGGATCTGCCCAGCCCTCTGCCACACGCCGTGACTCACCCTCTTGGAGGAGATGGTCATCGTCTTGATGGGTGCTGGCACCTAGGAATGAAGGAGATGGAGTGGTGAGTGCCTGGTCTGATACTGCAGCCCCAGGGTGGGCACCCCAGAACCCCCAAGGCAGCTCGGGTGGGCAGGGGGAGCTGCGAGGGGGCAGCAGGCAGGAGGACCTTGGGGTCCCTCCAGAGCTGGCTATGGAGCTAGCTGATGTCCCAAGGGGCTGGTTGGTGTCCCAAGGTGCTGGCTGATGTCCCAAGGGGCTGGTTGGTGCCCCAAGGGGCTGGCTGGCTGAGTCGAGGACACTCAGTGGAGGGTGGAGACCAGGACAACTCTTACCTTGAACACCTCAATCTCCTCCAGCATGAGCTCCTCCGTTTCCATGTCGTCTCGGGGGAGCACGATGACCTTCTGCACTGTGCCCCGATCTGCAAGACACCACGGTGCCCAGGTGCTCAGTGCCACCCCTGGGCACCTGTGCCCTCCCCTCCTGGGAAGGGGGTCCCTACTAGGGGGAGGAAGGATCCCCTCAAGCCCATCCCCATCTCTCTCCTGCTGCAGCGGGTGGCTGTGCCTGGCGTGTGGCATACCAGCTGAGGTCACCATTCACGGCTAGGGACTGCCACCACCCAGGGCAGGGTGGAGACAGCAGCAGAGGACAGGCACTGGGGCAGGGGAAGGACCCTCTAGGATGAGCATTAGAGCAGGCGAAGCATCAGGCTGGGCAAGTGTTCCCAGGATGGGCACTGGGGATGGAGAAGGACAGGGAAGGATGCTGATGCATCTAGGATGGGCAATCAGGCAGGAGAAGCTTGAGGCTGGATGATGGTGGGCTTAGGGTGGGCAATGGGAAGCACAAGGCTGGATCACAGAGCCTGTAGGAAGGGCACCAGGGTTGGGAAAGGACCAGGCTGGATGGTGGCATGCCTAGGACAGGAGGTATCATGCTGGATCTCTGGCTCCGAGGATGGACATTGGGTTAAAGGAAGGACCAAGCTGGACAGTGGGGTCTGTGGGATGAGCACTGGGGCAGGGGAAGGACCAGCCTGGAGCTTCAAGGAGGGGCAGGGATCTCAGAGGGGTTCTCAGCCCCTTGCCCCGCTCCAGCATGGCGGAGGGCAACGTGCTCTGGCCAGCCCTGGTGGTGCCCGTGCCCTCCGGGGCCGCGCCGGAGCATGCTGCGTTCCCCGCGGTGCGCGGCGTGGGTACCTGTGCCCAGGAAAAGCACCTCATAGCGCCCGTCTGCCGCGTCCACCTGGTCGACGGCCACGGTGGTGAAGCGGTAGTTGACGTTGGTGCGGACCACCAGCGGCTGGCGGTGAGTGGGGTAGACGGCGTGGTACATCAGCGGGTGCGTGCGCATGAAGTTGATCACTTCGTCGGGGTAGTCCTTGGTTGACTTCATGGACGGGGTGAAGGTCCCCCCGGGGCACTGCAGCACGAATGTCATCCGTGCTTGGTGACCCACTAGCCGGGCACGGCTCAGAGCACGCTGGCTGCCCAGCAGGCGCCAGCTCTCCCCCCAACATGTGCCCAGGGGGTACTTACAGTGCCTGGCCGGGGGTAGGGCATTTTGCCCGTGTAGGGCATCCACTGGTAGTTGGGTCCCTCCTTGTGCGCGAAGGGCCCGTTGAAGACCATGCGGATGTCAGCCATGGAGTAGACACACACGGCAGAGCCCTTGAAGACCGACCTGGGAGGAAGGACCTGCTGCCACCCTTGGGCGTGGCGCTGCCCGCCACCGCGGCATCGCCAGGACCCCCACCCAGCTGAGGACCCCCCTCTCTGCTGCTCCATGCCAGGAGGGTCAGCACTCACCCTGAAGCGGAGAACACGGCGTAGATAACAGGGTTCTTGGTGTCCTGCGTCTGCTGGATGAAGACGTCCTCTTGGGACAGAAAGATGGAGGTGTCACCATGGGGGAGGTGGGCAGGGACCCCCCTTGCACCCTGGGGCAGCGGGGAGAGCAGCTCCCCATGGGAAAGTTAAGAGTTGGGGGGAAGCAAGGGGGTCCCCAGCCCTCCCCATGAGACAGGGTAAGGTGTCACCCAAGCCCGCAGGGGTGCCAAAGGACCCTCTGCCCCCCTCGTCCACTCACGGAGCTCATCAAAGTGCGTTTCAATCCCGTCGGGCCCCGGCACGGAGCAGACAAGCCGGGCTTTCAGGAAGGTGCTCCACTTGTTCACGAGGCAGCAGTGGCCTCCGTCGTCGTTCTGCAATGGAAGCACCCCTGGGCTCAGCCCTGCCTACCCCTCTACCCACCCCTCTGCCCACTCCCCTGCCCACTCGCCGCTCCACCTACCAGGCAGATGCGTCCGATGCGGGAATAGACCCCAGGGCTCAGCGGAGCATCGGCCGACTTCTCTCGGAAGAAGAAGTAGAGCTTGTCGTCGTTCCTCTCGCTGCTGTCAGGGATGAGCTGGGCGCGGACAAAGGCTGGGTCTGGAACGGCATGGCACGGCACCGTCAGCCCAGCAGCACCCCTGCCCCATGCCGCAGTGGGATGCGGAGCCCCCATCTCCTCCAGCATTGCCCCTCTCCTGGAAAAGCACTGCCATGGTTGCAGGATGTGGACCAGAGCTGCAGAGGTGGGCTGAGGAACCGGATCTCTCTGATGGTCATTGGCGCTCCAGGAGGGGCTCAGAGCATCCCTGAGGTCCGCAGGATGGGGGGCTCTGGCAGCTCTATGAGCAGGGCAGTGGGAACTGGTCTTCCTCCCCGGGGAGGAACCACACAGCCTGAAAGCTTCTCAGGAAGCTTCTCCGTGCCATCCATCAGCCGGTGCGCAGCCTGCGCTGACAGCTCCCCCTCTTCGGGTTACTGCCCTGCCGGCTCCCCGGCCCGGCCGGAGCATCCCATCTGCTCTGCTCTGTTTACTCAGCTGCCGTCCCACGGGCAGGGGTGTTCTGAGGGGACAGGATGAGCGCTTGGGGTCACCGACTGCAGGCGACATGGTTGACATCTCAGCCCTGCAGAAACCCATGCATGGACTCCGGCAGAGCCAGCCCCGTCTCTTGCCAGCTGACTGCTCCTGCCACCCAGCAAAGACCTCAGCACGTCTGTCACCGTGCTGCAACACAGCTAGCCCTCTGCTCTTCTGCCTAGGTCTCCATCCATCCATCCATCCATCCATCCATCCATCCACCAATCCATCCATTCATCCATCCGTCATCCATTCATCCATCTGTCTATCCATCATGTATTCATTCATCACCTGTCCACCCATCCGTCTACCCATCCATCAACCATCCATCCATCCATCATCTGTCCACTCATCTCTCTACCCATCTCTCCGTCCATCTATCCATCCATCCATCCATCCATCCATCCATCCATCCATCCATCCATCCACCTCTCCATCCCACACCACCACCCATCCACCTGCCCATGCTGGCTACTGTCTCTGTCCTGGGAGAAGGACGCAGTATGACACAACTGGTCTCATTTCTAGGGCTTGAGCCGTGGGGTCTCCAGGGAACCTGGGCCAATGACACCCTGAACTCACCATTGAGCCAGCGTGAATTGTACTGGTCTGTCCTCATGGCCGTCTGCTTGCCCATGGTGCGGAAGATGGCTGCGTCTGTGCCCATGAAGTCGATGTAGACACCAGCATAGAGCTCTTCATCTAGAGAGGGCAGAGATCAGCCTGGGACCCCCGCCTAATCCCATCCACCCACCTCTCCCACTGCCCCTGGCTCCATCCAGTCCCAGCCCTGGCCAGTAGCCACCATGCAACCAAGAGGCACCACCTGTGGCCATCCCAGAGAGCGCAGGAGGTTGGCACTGGTCTGTAACCAGGACCCTCACCTCTGCTGAGCCAGGTGCCCAAAGACTGGGCATCCCAGGTGCCTGGCCACTCACAGCTGGAGTGGCAGGGGCAGGAGCCCAACTCCTTGGTGATAGTTGGGCAATGCAGGAAGATGGTGGACCAGCTGTCCCACCTCGCCTGCGCGTTCCCTCTGCCCAACGCAGGCAGTGCTGGCCCTGGGAGGCTATGAGACTCACTTATCAGCGCAGAGACGGTGTCCACTTTGGGGTCATAGGAACACTTGCCCTTGCCCGACTCCAGCTTGTCTGGCTCTAGGTAGAAAATATAATCCTGGAGGAGGAAGCAAATGGAGGAGCTGGTTAGACTTTCACCCCTCCATTCCCGCGGCACGTTCCAAAGCCCGCTGGGAGAGGCAGCCTCCTCTAGGACGCAGTCCAGCAGCAAGGACGGATGCAGATGGATCACACCAAGGGTCTGCAGGTCTCCTGAGAAGCTGAAGCCCCTGGGCGCTACTTCTCTGATGTTGCTGGGTGCTTCTCCGTGCCCTCCATCGCTTGGAGACTCAGCTGAGTTGCCAGGCTGAAATAGGGCATCCACCCCCCCTGCCCGCTTCTGGGCAGACATCTCCCTCCGTCCACCTCTTCGCTCCAGCTGCCTGTGCCGCACGTTGTGGGGTGCCACTTGGCAG